GGATCCATTGTGAACAAGTGATGGACTGTGGATGAGCAAATTTTACATTTTTGAGTGAACTATTCCTTTAAGGTGTTATCGTGCTGCCTCCATGTGCTAGGGGAAATTTCCTAGTTCCCATTTATGAAGTAGTGCTTACGAGCTTGTGCTTTAATGTCGGAAATAATAAAATGTACCATCCCATTGGTTGACTATCATAAACATTCTCCGCGCTACACATGCAGTTTGCTGACAATTCTGAAATTTCGGTCAAATACATGCTTTTTCACTGCTTACAAAACATACAATATGCTTCGAATGATCGTTCATATCTAGCCTATAAATACACTACTTTAGCGACAAGACAAAGGGATGTAGTTGTTGTGAGAACAGCATTGACAGCAGCAATGGTTGTCCCCTCCACCATGCTTAAAGATTATGACCCGCCCAACTCTGAAACTCTGGTATCAAAATTATTTCCGAATTTCCCAGTAGTAAATACGACTTAAGAGGCGTTCACGTCTAATTTCCAATTAGGAAACTCGTATTTTACGATAATTCCTATAGCATGTGAAGGCAGCATCTGTCACAGACCAGCCAGGCTCTCCACCCAGCCAATCACAACGCACAATCTCACCAGAATACTAAATCACACACACCTGCATTTCATCTCCCTCATTACCAGAACTGCTATTTAAGCACACACCTCGTATCAGTTCATCGTCCGGTCTCGTTTGCTGACATTCTGCTCCATGTCTTGTCTCCCTTGTGTCTCCAAGTCGTCTGTGTGTGTGTGTGTGTGTTTGTGACATATGAGGACACAAATTTGTATAATGACATGGGTATGACATAGGTATTACAAGGAGAAGGTGACTTATGAGGACATTACCCCATGTCCCCATTTTTCAAAATGCTTATAAATCATACAGTGAGTTTTTTTGAGAAAGTAAAAATGCACAAAGTTTCCTGTAAGGGGTAGGGATAGGTGTAGGTGTAAACGTGTGTGTGTGTTTGCTCTGTACTTACCCTTTAGCAAGGTGTGCGCTCCATCCATCTGTTCAGCTCCAGCAATCCACGATCTCCTGCAGCTGTAAGGAAAGGACATTTAATTATTCACCATTTCAAGTCTGTATGAACTGTTATAGTCTTGCTCACTGTGATTAGATTGTGATTAGTATTTCACAATTTTACACTTTTTTCTTTATATATATATATAAAGAAAAAAAATATATATAAAGAATATCCTATATATATATATATCCTCCCTGATCTTGCACAATGTCTGTAATATATATATATCCTCCCTGATCTTGCACAATGTCTGTGCGAGAAGGCTCATTGGGGGAAACACATACTTGCGTAGGCCCTGAGGCCAGCTGTGTGCAAGCGCATCTGTGCTGAGGGAAGTGGTGCAGAGCAAGCCATACTGCTAGCAACTCGAGGCAATTGATATGCCACTGCAGTCAAGGCCCTGTCCAGGCGCCCGATACTGCATGCCCGTTGTACATGGCCACCCAGCCTATGGCAGAGGCATCTGTTGAGACAACAACATGCCTGGACACTTGCACTAGGGAACTCCCTCCTGAAGAAAGGCAAGGTCCGACCACAGGCTGAAAGTCTGGTGGCAGGACAGGGTGACTGAGACCCGGTGAGTGCCGCATTGCCATGCCCATCTCGGGACTCGGTCAAGCCAACGCTGAAGCGGTCTCATATGAAGCAATCCAAGTGGCTTGACCGTGGCAGCGGATGCCATATGCCCCAGGAGCCTCTAAAACTGTTTCAGTGGCACCGCCCTCCTGCGCTGACTCCAGGCAGTTCAGCATCGACTGGGCATGCTCTACTGAGAGGCGTGCTGTTAGATTGACCGAGTCCAACTCCATACCAAGAAAAGAGATCCTCTGCACGGGGGAGAGTTTGCTCTTTTCCCAGTTGACCCAAAGCCCCAACCGACTGAGGTGGCTGAGTACTACATCCCTGTTTTTGCACAACTCCGCTCGAGACTGGGCCAGTATGAGCCAGTTGTCGAGCTAGTTGAGAATGCGAATGCCTCTTTCCCCCAACGGGACGAGGGCTGCCTCCACGACCTCAGTGAAGACAGGTCGATATGAAGACGGGGTTTTACAGCCCGGGACATCTTGAATGGTAACCGGTGAAGGGCCCAGTTCAAGACACGCAGGTCCAAGATTGGTCGTAACCCACCGCCTTTCTTGGGTACAATGAAGTAGGAGCTGTAAAACCCCGTCTTCATATTGGCTGGAGGGACCGGCTCTATCGTGTCCTTCGCCAGTTGGACTACAATTTTCACTTGCAAGACGGAAGCATCCTTGTTCAGCACAGAGGTGAACCAAATGCCCCTGAACTTGGGGTGAACTGAATCGCATAGCAGAGTCTGATGGTCCTCGTGAGCCAGCGAGACGGTCTGGGGAGCACTAGCCAGGCCCCCAGAAACCGAGCAAGCGGGACTAAGGGAATCACCGACGTACCTGCAGTGGGGCAGCGCAGGGACCCGACCCGGAAGGCAAAGCATCCCGGAGTGGGGTCTGAGTACGCGGTGCGGCATTTACCTGGCTCCACGGTTGGACAGGGGGTGCGTGAGGAGGCATTGCATCCTCGAGCCGGGCCCTGCTGCCCACTGGCGAAAGGAGAGGGGCACAGAAGTGCTGAGGCTGTGTCTCGTACACTGCCATCTTAGCCCTCTTGGGACCCGGAGAGAAATTAAACTGCTCTTTTGTTGAATGTTTGGGTACCCCTTGAACAAAACAAAAAGGGAACAGAAGATTCTCCACCCGGCCCTCCTCCGGGAGAAGGAGTGGTGCAGTCACCATCTCCTGAAGAGCAGGATCCAGAGTCTCCGGATTGCCCGTCTCAGGGATGCTGCTTTCCTGCTGCCAGCTCCACGCTGCGGCTGGTGTGAAGGCTGCTGCTGGGGCCGATCTAGAGCAGAGGTGGAGGCAGCTGAAGGGCGCCCTCGGCAACGAGCGGGCAGAGGAGCTGTAGCCGGTAGTGGGGTGTTGACAGCAGCAGGCCGCCGGGGCAGGATGTGCTTAATTGCCTCCGTCTGCTTCTGTGCGGTGGAGAACTGCTGGGCGAAGGTCTCCACCATGTCGCCGAAGAGGCCACCCTGGGAGATCGGGGAGTCCAGGAAGCGGTGTTTGTCGGAATCCCTCATATCTGCCAGGTTCTGCCAAAGGTGGCGTTCCTGGACCGCCAAGGTGGACATCGTCTGAGCCAGGGACCGCGCCGTGATTTTCATCACCTGTAGGGCGAGGTCCATCGCAGTGCGCAGCTTCTGCATCACACCCAGGTCAGAACTACCCTCGGGCAGCTGCTTCAATGCCTTGGCCTGGTAGACTTACAGGAGGGCCATGGTGTATAGGGCGGAGGCGGCCTGTCCAGCAGCTCTGTAAGCCTTGGCCATTAGAGCAGACGAGAACTCTGGACGGGAGGCTTGGATTACCCCGCCAGGCGGCAGCGCTCTTCGGGCAAAGGGGGACTCCCCCTCGTTCCATGAAGAGGAGTCTCGATCGCAACATCGCGATGGTTATGTTCCCGCAATGATAACATGAATCATCCATGAGCGCTGCCTCAGCGTACTCAAAGCCCAGGCACGAGATGCAGCGATCGTGACCATCAGACAGAGCTAGGAAGCGACCGCATCCAGAAACACACAAGTGGAAGGCCATCTTTAAAAAGACGCTGCGTCACTCGTGGAGCTCTTTTAGATATTGCTCTTTTAGAAAAAGTGCTGAAGCGCCCGGGGGAGGACGCAGCACGACCGCAGTTTGATAAGCTGCTGCACGCCGTCCAAAACACCAAAAGCAGCAGCACTGGACCAGCATCCCCCACTGACGTGCCGTAACACCAACACTGAGAAAAAACTCTGTCTTGCAGACACTCTTGCTCGGTTGAACCCACAAGCTGAAAGGCTCGGCTCCGAAGCAAAAAGCTGAATTTACGACTGCATGCACTCTCCTTATATACCCGCGCATGCGGGGCGAGGTGCGCGACGCAAAGCTCACACGCCAACACTTATTGACTTGTTTTGTTAACACTTAAAGGTGATTGGACTCTCTAGCGAGATCCCAATTCGTCAGTCACTGCTGACAATAACGTCGAATGTGACTGACTAAAAGGGAACTTCACTTTTAGTGAAATGTCACAGTGATGCATCATGAGACAAAAAAAGCAGTCAGCACTAAATTAAAATAGTGAATACTACAAGATATTAATTCTTAAACTTTGTAAAATATACAATATTTTTGCCCTTACTG